GCCCGACGCGGGGCTCGAACCCACGAACCGCGAGATCATGACCCAAGCGAAAGTCGGACGCTTAACCGACTAAGCCACCCAGGCGCCCCTCTGATGGTCTTTCTAAATGCCCCCACAGCAACCGACATGGAATTACCTATATATGAGCTGTTGTGGTGATTTCTTGGAAGTTTATATCAAGTTGTCCAACTTAACCTTGTATAGCCTCTAGAAAAGGATAGTTTCCCAATGATTCCAAGGCAGGAACTGAGAGGAAATTGGAAATGTTAGTTTAGAGGGAGAGAGAGCATACAAGCAGGACAGGAACAGAGAGAGAGAGAGAGAGAAAGAGAGAGAAAGAATCCCTAGCAGGCTCCACACTGCCAGCGTAGAGCTTGTTGTGGGGTTCAAACCCATGAACCATGAGATCACAAACTGAGCCAAAGTCAAGAGCTTGATACTTAATCAGCTGAGCCACTCAGGCACCCCTATTTATTTATTTTTTGAGAGAGAGAGAGAGAGAGAAGGAGGAGGGGGCAGAGATAGAGGGAGAGAGAATTTTAAGTAGGCTCTGCGCTGACTGAATGGAGCCCAAAATGGGACTTGATCTCATGAACTATGATATCATGACCTGAGCCAAAATCAAGAGTCAGACACTTAATTGACTGAGCCACCCAGCCACCGCCCAGCATAATTTTTAAATTCAACCATACTGTTGCAAGTATGAGTAGTTATTCAATTGTATTGTTGAGTAGCATTTCATTGTATACCATATTATGTTTCTCTATTTACCTACTGATGGACATTTTAGGGTATTTCCAATTTGGGGCTATTAAGAAAAAAGCTGCTATCAACTCTATACAGAAATCTTTGTGTGGACATAGATTTTTATTTCTCTTAGATACATACCTATAAAATGTCGTAGTAGTGTGGCGGTGCATGTCTAAGCTCATGTGAAATTTCCAAACAATTTTCTAAAGTAGTTCCCATCAACAGTGATGAGAATTCTAATTGCTCTGTATTCTCCTAGACACTTTATATTGTCAGTCTTTTTCATTTTAACCATTCTAATGAAGAGTATTATCTTATTGCAGTTTTTGTTTGCATTTCCCTGATGACTGATGTTGACCAATTTTTCATTTGCTTATTGAACATTAAATGTATTATTTTGTGAATTGTCTGTTCAAGCTTCTTGCCCATCTTAATTACATTCTGTTACATACTGTTGGCCTATAAGAGTCTTTATATAATCTGGATACCAGTTCATTGTCATACATATACATTGCAAATATTTTCTTCCATTCTTTAGTTTGTCTTTTTTCTATTTTTGAATTGAGGTATAACTGACATTATAACTTTTTAATTTTTCTTTTAATCTTTAATTTTTCTTGATCTTTTTAACGTGTTCTGAAATTAAGTTTGCTAGTATCTTGTTGAGAATTTTTGCATCTATATTCATCAAGGATATTGGTCTATAGTATTCTTGTAGTGTCTTTATCTGGCTTGGGGGTAATGCTGACCTCACAAAATTAGTTTGAGAGTATTCCTTCCTTTTTATTTTTTGGGGAAGAGTATGAAAGGGTTAGTGTTAATTCCTCTTTAAATGTATGGTAGAATTTACTAGTGAAGACATTTGGTCCCGGGATGTGCTATGTCTAGAGAGTCTGGTTATCAGTACAGTCTCCTAACTCATTACTTATGTGTTCAGTTTTCTATTTCTTCTGGATTTAGACTTGGTGGTAGGTATGTTTCTATGAATATATTCATTTCTTTAAGGCTATCCAGTTCATCGGTGTATAATTGTTCATCGTAATCTCTTATGGTTCTTTGGATTTCTGTGCAGGTATAGCATTTCGTGATTTATCCCTTACACAAAACACCCAGAGCTCATCACAGCAAGTTGCGTCCTTAATATCCATCACTCATTTAACCCTTCCCCCTGCCCACATCCCTTCCAGTAACTCTGTCTGTTCTCTGTAGTTAAGAGTCTATTTCATGGTTTGCCTCTCTTTTTCCCCACATACTCATGTGTTCTGTTTCTTAATATCCATATGAATGAAATTATATGGTATTTGTCCTTCTCTGACTAACATTTCACTTAGCTTACATTCTAGCTCCGCACATCATTGTAAATGGCAAGATTCCTTCTTTTTTTTTTTTTTTCTTCTTTCTTTTTTGTTGCCACTGTTGGCTTTAAAACAAACATCAGGCTATCAAACTCATACATATTTCCAAACTCCAACTCTCAGCTTAATGCTCTCTATGCAATCAATTCTGTGTAATAAGGAATGCCAAAAGCCAGGCTTCAAGTTGCAACTCACCCTGGTAACTAAAAGGCAATCCATGTTGAAAATACCCACAAAGATGTCTTGCCAAAACAAACAAACAAACAAACAAACAAACCAGAAGAAGAAGCAGAAGAAGAAGCAGCATAAGATGAAGAAGAAGCAGCAGCATCAGAAGAAACAGTGTTAACAAATTATATTTGTTGGAACACTGAAAGGAAGAAATGAGAAAGCCTTGAAGACTTGCATCTTTAGTACATTCACCTTTTTGACTATGTGACTTCTAAGGTCATAACACAGGCTAACTGAGTGTCTTTTCTTCCCACAGCCATGGCCACAGCGAAGTCCACTGCTGATGTGCCTCTGCTCAGAGACAAAAGAACACATGACCTTCAAGAGAAACTGACAGAAGTAGGACTGGCACTCGAGTACTGGTTGCCCATGTTGCAGGAACACCTGGGTGTGACTTGTGCCCAGGCCTTGCAACATCTAGAAGAAAAAGACCTCCAGAAGCTGAAATCTCAAGCACGACATTCCTGGGAGAAGAAAGCCTTGGAGATGCTTCTTAACATGTCACACTCAAATAGTCTTTCTGAGTTACAG